TATCTTTACAAAAGTTCTTGGGAAGTTTAAAGCAGCTCATAGCATAGGTCGAGATCGCCTGGACAACACTTTTGATCAAAACCTCTTTTCAACAGCCGAAAACAAATTACCTCTCCACCTTTGGATCGTCTTCCAGACCCTTTCTTTGACCAAACTAAAATCTTTCCCCTTTCTTCGAGAAAAACAGGATGGAAGACCGAGATAAGTCCCAAGATTATCCACCACTTGAACCCCAAAATCAATAACAGTGATCATTTTAGTTCATCTTTGTAAAATTTTAACATAAATTTTACACATAACGTAAACTATTTAGTATAATGTAATGTAAGAAATATATTGATTGTAGTGACGTGTTGTAATTGTGATAGAAAAAATGTGGTTAAAAATAAAATTAAGGAACCAAAATAATTATTTTTTAAAAGTATGGGACCAAAATGAATATTTAAAAAATATAGAGAGTAAATCGAACTAGTTGAAAGTAGGGAGACCAAACTAATATTTTAACCCTAATTAACTATATTAATTCTAATGTACTCTAAACTATTATCCATTCACTCCAATGCAACACTATTGATTATGAATTTAATTAAGGCATACCAATTCTAATTAATTCAATTAAAACATTCGCAAACTTAAACATAATTCAACTAGTTAAGGTATCTATTTTTTTATAAAAAGAAAGTCGCGAGTTTGAATATTCACATTCACATATCGTACTAAACAAATTAATGAAATACTATAACCTCGCTTTAAATAATAAAAATATAGCTGGGTGACTTGAGAACTTATGTGTATATTTTAGAATAGAGATGTTCACCTTTTGTAACAGGTAAAACTATGATATAGACTAGTAGATGATCATTAAAACTAATAATTTTCTTTAAAATTTACCCAAAAAAATAAACAAGCTTTTTTTTTTTTCCCATCTCCTCTTTAGTAAAAGCAATTGAAAGTGACAAAATTGAAATATTTTAATAACATAAAGGGGTATGGGAATTGGCCTCAACCTTAATGAATTTAGTTGGTGTGTGATTGGACCCAGAAAAGGCCAAAGAAAACTCATGGCTTTGCCTACCTGTTAGTTGTTTATTATTGCATGCCAAGCTGGCCTACTTTGCCTTAAAGTGCTTTATGATACAAACACACCTCATTCTTTCACTTTTTTCCAACCCTACTTTTTAACTTTTTCAAACATAATTATAATTGCTCCCTTCCCTATAAATTAAAGACACCAATGCATAATCATGTAAGAGTTTTAGGCTACCTAAACCAAGATTGTGAAGTTACAATTATGGACAACTTTAATTAATTAATTAATTTATTTATTTATTTATGTTTTGTCTTTTTCATTTTTTAGTAACATTGTTGAAATTCTAGTTACATTTTTCCTTTTTGGATAAAATTGAAGATTTCAACAAGTCCATTACCATGGTTGAGTTTTTAACAGGAAAAGGGTGTAGTTTGATGGTATGGATAGTACTCTGCAATTATTATATAGATGGGTATATATGTGCAATACTCAAATCTTTATCATTCTAATGAAAATCACTCTATTCATGTTGTTAGAGATAAAATCAACTGCAAATACATAATCCTCACCATTATGGCGCGTGTGATTAGACCTCGATTAGGATATAAACGAGAACAAAGAAGAAGAGTCAACGTGTCCAGAAGCACAACTCAACTTGACTCCGACCTAAAAATTATTTTGTTTGGGATGAAATCTCCTAACAGTCACTAAAATATCAATTTTGCTAATGGATATTTTTTTCTTGTTACTGAATATTTGGTAAGTCATAGGTATGGATGCCACCACTTGTTAATAATTCCCTTGTAAGATGTGAAGGCTCAACATTCTCAAATGTATGCAACCTCTTGTATTTATATAAATCTGGTTCGACACCAGGTTTAACTAAGTACCAACTTAAGTTTTGAAGTGTACACGGTCGAGCACCATGTCCGTGCGAAATTCTCTATTTACAAGTTCCAACTAAACTCGTGTTAAAATTTACGTTAGATCACCTGCTGACGTGCCATATAGGCCATATATTTCTTTACCTCCAATATGGAGTTGTTAATTGTCCATGCTTCATCTACTGGACAAAAGTGCACACTGCACACACATAGTTACTTTAATAAAGTATATTATAATACTATTTATTAACAAATAAGACAACTCAATGCCTTTTCAGTTTTTGTAAGCTTTATATTTTTTACACTCATTCCTTTTCCAAAACAATGTAATTCAGACAATTTGATTAAACTTTTCCATAAAAGCAAATCCACCGGCAAATAACCAAAAAAAAAAAAAGGGACCAGTAAATACTAGTTGATATAAAGAGTTTATAAAAGTTTAGAATACTTTATTTCCTAATTGCCTTTATGGAAAGATAAAAGATACCTTCTTTTATGGACAAAAAAATTGGAAGTTTGTATGTTTTCAGTGTCCTGTAAAATCATTTTAAATAAAAATATACACTTTCTAATTCCTGCGGGTCATTGCTCAGTATTCCAAGCCGAAAGTTAGAAAAAATATTTTTGGTAAAGTAAAGAGGGTGAGATTCGAACTTGCACATGTTAAGTGTGTACGTTTTCACACTTTTCATTGTACCGAGTTAGTTGAGCAGAAATCTATATGAAAAATTAGATCGTTTAAAATTAAAAGAAAATTAAAATATTTCATCACATTTTAAGAGGTGAACGTAAAATTCAATTTTCTCTTTTAAATATCATACTTCATATTCTATCATCAGTCGACTTTAACATTTATTAAAAAGCAAAGTATAATTAGAAAAATGTAAATAAATAAATTGAAAGTTTCTAAACGAGACTAAATTGAAAAATAACGAAACCTTACGAAGTAAAATGTATATTTAGCCTAAATCAAAGGAGTCTGTCGTTGGGAGTTTTGGGCCGAAATTGGGCCGCAGGCGGAAAATGATCAAACGCCGTTACTTTTAGTTTTAGCCCTAATGTGTGCTTGAGCAACAAGAAATATTTGACTTTGAACATTACGCCGTCGTATAGGGTTCTTAATGGCCCATGCATGTAGGCGGTGATAGTATGTGCGCGTCCGTATGAGCTTTTCCGTGTTGATGCATTGTCATAGCCCTTGGATGATTCGACTTCTCTACTCTCCTTCTGACTCCTTTTTATATCCGAACTTGGGGTAACTTTTGGAAGAGCATAATTTATTAGATTTCATTTTTTATTTTCTAAAATATCATTTTCATTTTTATATTTTTTAACTTATCGATTTTAATAATACTAATAGTCTTGTCATAAATGGGTGTTGACAACTTTAATAAATAATAAGGGTAAAAAATGGTTGTTATCATTAATGACATGTGAATCAGTTTTATTATCACATTAATATATATTAATCGCTATTTACCAACCTAGACTATTTGATGGTTGATTTGGGTGTAGTTCATTATCGACAAAAAAAAGTCATTGGAAGTCTGAATTCTAGCCATACATGGTGATTGTTAATATATTATATTAAGGTTGTGACACTAGACATTCATGAATCTTTAGTCTATAGAAACGTTATTAATATTTTAATGTTTAAGTTAATTGACAACTTAAATATAAGCTTACTTGTCGTGGCATTTGTAACTTTTTTTTTTTAAGTACGGAGTGTTGGAATTTACATCTTTCATAATGCTATATTTAAAAGTAATGGTATTGGAAAAAATTAGTAAGACATGATATATAAACTAATTTAGAAATACTTTAAATAAGAAATAAAAATGTAAAAATGCATGCTAATATGTTATATAAGAAGTACAACAATACTGAGAATACATATTCGATCATCAAACTATGACAAAGTCACGTTCGAATATCAACCGATCATTTGAGAACTCAGAGGTCGAGACTCAATAAGTTGGCCCGACCCAAAAACAAGGCCCACATTAGCTAGTTAGCCAGCCAACCATAAGACCGACATCCTTGGTTGGCTGGTTGGCTGGTTAGCTGGTCGACTGGTCCGCTCGACCAACTTCATTTAGTCGGCTTATAGTTCGGGCGAATATACCTTGGTTGGTCATGGGCCGAGCCAATTAGCATAGACTCAGCTTGAACTCATCTTATATCAACAGTATACTCTTTCTTATATTATACTTTTGTAAACAACTCGATAGCCAACTACTTGTATGTTGCAGGTAGATATTCTGATATATAAAGAATTTGAATTACTCTCATTTAATAAAATTTTAAATGAAAAAATATTCCACTGACCAAACCCAATACTCAGTAGAACCCTATTTAGTATTATGTTTCACACGAAATCTTGAATCCAACTTAAGTCATTGGAGGTGTGTGGCCAGCACCATATAATTAATCTCTGTAGGTTTCGTCGAATTCTTTTATTTTATAAGATCGATACAAAATTATTAATTATGATAGACTAAATTTATGTATCAACACTAATAACATGTTAAAAACTAAAAGAAAAAAAATATAGATGAAAACAAGAGAGTAGGGACAATGTAAATCTCAATTGATTTGCTTGATATTGAAGTGCTATGCTACAACAATAATGTAAATGAAAAATGGTACCACATGAAATGAAATTATAGTAAAACGGAGCATGTAATCTATGGAAATTAATTATAGACCTCTAAATTTAATATTTACAACACATCTTTTAGTTCGTTGACAATATATTCATAATTTATTACACTATTAAATGCTGAAAGATGAGAAATTAAAAAAATATACCAAATATAACAAAACTTCCTTCCCACTCATATTTATATTTATGCTGACTTGGGACACACGTTTTAATAATTCGAGGGTTGTGGTCTCACAGTAATTACGTGGACAAGCGGATACCATATAGAATCCCAATTCGAAAAATCGTCTTTCCTCCAGAACCAACCGCGTAAATTAGAAACAGAGTTTTGATTAAATGATACCCGGCCGTCACATGAGAATCGCCAATCCATCGACACGTGTCCATTTGATGAAAGTGTATACACCACATCAGGGCTTACCTCACGGCCTTAACCCGCCCCCTATTCTTCGTCCAACTTAGTAGGAAAAAAAAAAAAAAAGAAGCTTCACGCGGGGAGAGGCGAAATGCAGAGATAGGTGAAGCAGCTGAGCCGCCTCCCTTTCACTCCTCAGCTCTAATCCAACTCGCTCATTCAAGTTTCAGGTTCCGCTCTCTCTATCTTTCTCTGCATTCTTAACTTATGGAGAATGAGCTGATTTGCTATCTACTTTATGGTTCCTTCATGGCTGGTTACGGTTACTACTTTCTCTGCCGTGTTCGGTCATGTTTTTTGAATCGCGTATATGGGTTTTCCTGTTTATTTCTTCGACGCGGAAGGGTTTTGATTTATCTCGGTTCTTAGGATGATTTTTGACCGGTTTGTTCACATTTGTTTTCAATTAAGTTGGATTACATTTGTTGAATTTTATTTTTCCTAGAATGAATTTTGACGGTCAATAAATAGTGGGTTATGAAAGGCTTTGTTGAGCTCGTATTTGGGGTTTTCATGTTTTTTCTAAAAATTGTGTTTGGTAATGATGATTGGTCTTTTATGGTTGCTCTGTTAGAGGGAAAATTCGCTGGAGGGCTAGGAGTAGTGTGTAGTTTTCAAATTGAAAGTTGCATTATTTTATGACGGCAAGTGGCTAATTTTGCAACTCTTTTATGAAAGTTGTGTGCTGTAATTGGTAATTGCAGATTATGTTGCGGGCAAAGCAGATTGGCAGCCTTTCAAGCAGTGCTAGGTCGTTTTTTCTTAGTGGATCACGATGTAATGGAGCAGATGGATCTTCATGCACATGCTCTGAAGACGAAACTTGTGTTTCCCAGAGACAAAATGCTAGAATTGAAATCTTGCCCTCATCAAAGCCATCCACCTTGGTAGCCAGGCCCAATAGTTCAGCTAGATTAGGAACTTTAATTGCAGAAGATGCAGCAAAAGTGATAGTGTCTCACAAAACTGACAAGGTTGATCTCTCAATTGCCGTACGACCAGTTACAAACACTGGCCCCAGTCCCCAGAGAGGACCAGAATGTGTTAGATACGCCAGTGGCCTTAACACTGTTCTGGATGATGAGTGCACTTCACCAAAGATTGCAGATCAGTTTGTTAAGGCAGGTATTGTGGCTGTGAACTTATTCTCTGACTTCGTGAATTTTAAAGTCCCCTTATCTGACTATGGTGGAACATTTAGCTCGTCTAAAAATTGCATGGTCGATCCTGCCCGGTCCATTACGTCTGTTAAACCATCAAAAGTCAAACATTTAAGAAGAGAAAACATTTCTAGTGTTCATTCCAAGCCATCCGTTGACATCCCTGTAGATTCTAAGCCTCAAAGTAGTAGTAGCCATCATGGGCCAAAGTGCAAGTCCGAGAAATCCAATTATGTTAAAGGGTTGAAGCAAGTCCCCGAGGCCAGGACACGAAAGCCTGTGGTATTTCATAATATGTCATCAGACAAATGTGATAAAAGGATCTTACCACAAAGATCAAGGATTCATTTGAACAGCTTTACATCACATTTTCATTCCAATGCACAGACCATGGGCTCAGAGTTCACAAATTCTTCTAAGAATTTGAACAAACTTCCTGATAATATTAAAAGTTCAATGGGGATGGCACCAACGACTATGCAGCTTTCGAGTACCTCTCATGCTGTGGAAAGTGTTTTTTGCATATTGCAGCAACTTAAATGGGGCCCGACTGCTGAAGAGGCTCTTGGAAAATTGAACTGTTCAATAGACGTTTACCAGGCAAACCAAGTTCTGAAGCGGCTTGATGACTACTCTGTTGCTCTTGGTTTTTTTAATTGGTTAAAGCGTCTGCCTAGGTTTAGGCATGATGGGCACACTTATACTACTATGATTGGTCTCCTTGGCCGTGCCAAACAATTTGGTGCTATAAATAAATTGCTTGATCAGATGGTCAAGGATGGCTGCCAGCCTAATGTTGTAACATATAATCGTATAATTCATAGTTATGGTCGTGCAAACTATTTGCAAGAAGCTGTTGATGTATTCAAACAAATGCAAGAAGCAGGATGTGAACCTGATCGAGTCACCTACTGCACGCTCATTGACATTCATGCGAAGTCTGGCTTTCTTGATATTGCCATGGGCATGTATGAGAGGATGCAGGAGGCTGGCCTCACTCCCGACACATTTACTTACAGTGTTATGATCAACTGCTTGGGAAAAGCTGGACATTTAAATGCTGCTCATAGGCTGTTCTGTAGGATGGTTGATCAGGGTTGTGTTCCTAATTTGGTCACCTACAATATCATGATTGCTCTTCAAGCGAAAGCAAGGAATTACGAGATTGCATTGAAGCTTTACCGTGATATGCAACAATCAGGCTTTGAGCCAGATAAAGTGACTTACTGCATAGTTATGGAAGTATTAGGCCATTGTGGTTTCCTCGAGGAGGCAGAATCTATATTTATTGAGATGCAAAAGAAGAACTGGGTACCTGATGAGCCTGTTTATGGTCTATTGGTGGACTTGTGGGGAAAGTCTGGTAATGTTCAAAAGGCATGGGAATGGTATCATGTTATGCTTAATGCTGGTTTAAAGCCGAATGTGCCTACCTGCAATTCCTTGCTTAGCGCCTTTCTTAGGGTACACCAACTATCAGATGCCTATCAGTTGTTACAGTCCATGCTGCATTTTGGTCTAAAACCTTCTCTACAAACCTATACCTTGCTTCTCAGTTGTTGCACTGATGCACAGTCGACAAACGACATGGGGTTTTGTTGCGAGCTGATGCAAATAACAGGTCACCCAGCACACACATTCCTGGTGTCGTTGCCATCGGCTGGACCTAATGGTCAAAATGTAAGAGATCACATGAACACATTTTTGGACCTCATGCACAGCGAAGACAGAGAGAGCAAGCGGGGACTTGTGGATGCAGTTGTAGATTTTCTTCATAAATCAGGACTCAAGGAGGAGGCAGGATGCGTCTGGGAGGCTGCTATGCAAAAGAATGTCTATCCAGATGCCGTGAAGGAGAAAAGCAACTGTTATTGGCTCATTAACTTGCACGTTATGTCGGAAGGCACCGCGGTGACAGCTTTGTCTAGGACTCTTGCTTGGTTTCGCCAGCAAATGCTTCATTCCGGTGTCAGTCCCAGTCGAATCGATATCGTGACCGGTTGGGGTCGGCGAAGTAGAGTCACTGGATCTTCTCTAGTGAGGCAGGCAGTGCAGGACCTGCTGAACATTTTTAGCTTCCCTTTCTTCACTGAAAATGGCAATTCTGGATGCTTTGTGGGGTGTGGTGAGCCTCTTAGTAGATGGTTGCACCAATCATATGTGGAGAGGATGCATTTGTTGTAGTAGTTCCTCTAACTCGCACTCTAAATTTCTCCTCTTTATGGGCCAAAATTCAAATTTTGTTGCAGAGCATGGATTGTTTTTAGGTTACTTGCTGGATCAGGTCCATCTGTATGTATTTGTCTTTATGAGTAGAAATCTCCATATTCAAGTTATAAGCACAACAATGATGTTAAAAACTCAAAAGGCTCTCTCACAACTTTCTAGAGTGGAATTTGGCAAGCTTTACTTTTTTAAAAGTGACCTCTTATTGGAATGTGAACAATTTTTTTTGTCTTTCTATCATGCAACGCTCACGTCACAAACAACAAGGTGGGTATACAAATAATACATATTTTATAATAATAAAAACATCATTTCCATTTCTTGTTCTATAAAATTAGAAAAAAGAGAGAGAAATGATGGAATTCTAGTTTCAAAACCAAGTCTAAAAATCTAAATTAATTAATTGTATTAAACATGCGATATGTTATTGACCTCGTTGGTTGAAGTCTATGTTTAGAAAAGTTGAAATCAAAATCAAACTTCAATCACCTCCATTTTGATCATGACCTCGTCTTAAATCCAAATAAATTATGAATTTTAAAAAAAAACATTAATACATGCTAACATTACACTAAAAGTAGAATTTATAAAAATCATTCATCCATTTTTTTTTCTCATAAATATATCTATATAAAAAAAAAAAAAGAGTGAAAGCCATGGCACAAAATTTATTTACTTGTGCTTCAAGACTAATCAAGTATTAATGGAGGGTTACATCATAATCCGGATTCCAAAGGATATAAATAAACATATTTTCTCTGATTAATCTTCTTTCTTCTCATTTGCTTTTTTTTTTTTACTCTCTCTCTCTTCTCTCTCTCATCAAATATCAGCCCCTCCCTCCCCGCTTCCGAGGGTAGGTGTCTGTGTGTGACACACAGAGCGAACACTCTACTGCCTTCCCCGCCTAATCCATTTTGCCCCTTTTGATTTCTTCGATGATTCATCTTCGTCTCCGGCGACGGCAATCTCCCCCCATTATCCGCCTCCGGCAACCGTACGTCTAGGACTTTCTGTTTATCCTCTTCCCCCATCTTCTCTTTGCTTCAATCCGCGAGTAAGTTTATTTACTCTTGCTTATCGTTGTTGTATCGTAGAGACGTGTATACAGGTTTTATATATGCATGTCGATTGGATTGCTGTAGAGTTTATTGATGGGGCGTAAGAAGAAAATTGTTGATCCGCGTTCCAAACAATCTCCGGCGGCTCGAGGAGTCGCCGTTGATGTTCCAAGTGTAGCGAACTCCGACCAAAGCTCGGTTCCCGATAAGTCAAGTAATCACAACCAAAATAGGATCGAGTCGGTGTTTGGTAATGAATCGGACGGCTTGTCTTATTCTACAATTAAGCTCGAATGCGAGCGGGCTCTTACGGCGCTTCGGCGTGGGAATCACACTAAGGCACTCAGGCTTATGAAGGAGTTGAGCTCGCGAAACGAGAACTCTGTTCACTCTGCATTGATTCATCGGGTTCAGGGCACTATTTGTGTAAAAGTAGCATCGATTATTGATGACCTGAATACAAAGCAGCGGCATTTGAAGAATGCGATTGAGTCTGCTCGTAAAGCAGTCGAGCTCTCACCAAGCTCGATTGAGTTTTCCCATTTCTATGCAAATTTGTTGTACGAGGTTGCCAATGATGCGAAGGAGTACGAGGAGGTGGTGCAAGAGTGTGAACGGGCCCTTGGCATTGAAAATCCAATTGATCCCGCTAAGGAGAGCTTGCAGGATGAAAAGAATCAGAAGATACCTACTGCAGAAGCACGAATTGCCCATGTGCAGACTGAATTAAGGCAGTTAATTCAAAAGTCAAATATCTACTCCATATCATCTTGGATGAAGAACTTGGGTAACGGGGAGGAGAAGTTTAGGTTGATTCCGATTAGAAGAGTGACAGAAGACCCCATGGAGGTCAGGTTGGTTCAGGCTAGAAGGGCAAACGAAATTAAGAAGGCAACTAAAACGCCTGAGGAGCGGAGGAAGGAGATTGAAGTCCGTGTTGCTGCTGCAAGGCTTTTGCAACAGAAGTCTGATACACCTCAAATGCAAAATGAAGGAGGCAAAGCTGATCGGACCCTGGATTCATCGTCAGGGTCTGGTACAAGAGTCGGTGAACGGCGGAAACATGGAAATTTACGGAAACATGGATCTTCAGCTGAAAGGAGGGATTGGGTTCATTCTTTTTGGAATTCCATGAGTATGGAATCGAAGAAAGATTTCCTTAAGATCAAGATAAGTGATCTTAACACTCATATTAGTTCTTCAAAGGATGCTTCAGCGAATGAAGTTATTTCAGAAGCTTTATCCTTTTGTGATGCCAATAAAACATGGAAATTTTGGGTTTGCTGCAGATGTGATGAGAAATTTGTGGATTCGGAATCTCATATGCACCATGTGGTTCAGGAGCACATGGGTAACCTTTTGCCGAAAATGCAGTCTATCTTGCCACAGAATGTTGACAATGAGTGGGCTGAAATGCTTCTTAATTGCTCTTGGAAAGCACTGGATGTTTCAGCTGCAGCTAAAATGCTCACAGATCAAACAAAATGCAAGGATTCTGAGTTGGTTGAAGATATCTGCTTGCAGCATCATTCTGACAGTGATGACTGTTTCAAAGATGCATGGGATTCTTCCCCAGAGAAACACAATTATGGGAATGGTTTAAACGAGTGCAATGTTTACGAGAAAGTTGGCAACAATGGATTTAAGGCCTGTCATGAAAACCAAGGTTCTGTGACATCATACTCCTTATCTGATAGCTTTCCAGTATCTGATGATTCAGAGCGAACAAAGCTTCTTGAGAAAATTCATGCGATATTTGAGTTACTTATTAGACATAAATATCTTGCTGCAAGCCATCTAAACAAGGTTATACAGTTTACAATGGATGAGTTACAAGGTCTTTCTGGATATCATCTTCTGAACCAGGGACTGGACCAAACACCACTATGCATCTGCTTTCTTGGTGCTTCTCAGCTTAGGAAAATCTTCAAGTTCTTGCAAGAACTATCTCATTCTTGTGGTTTTGGTAGATACGTTGATAAAAGTACCGGTCAAATTGAAGATTCAAAGAACGATAAACAATCTGTTGAGGTCAAAGAGAAGATTGTTCTCAATGAAGATGCGTCACTGCTCCTCCTCAATGAGTGTTTTCTGTCATCTGATTTCACTCATGCCAATGGTCAGGCTGCAGCCACAGATCATATTCCAGTTCCAACTGCTAAGGATGTTACTGCAAATGGGGTTTTTTCTGATGCTGATCCTTTTCTATCATGGATATATGCAGGTCTTTCTAGTGGGGAACAGTTATCATCATGGGCACAAACAAAGGAAGAAAAGATACAGCAAGGAATGGAAATTCTTCAAATGCTTGAAAAGGAATTTCTGCATCTACAGAGCCTTTGTGAGAGAAAATGTGAGCATTTGAGCTATGAGGAAGCATTGCAGTTATTAGAGGATCTTTGCCTTGAAGAGGGCAAGAAGAGGGAAGCTGTGACTGAATTTATCCCCAAGAGTTATGAGTCAGTCCTGAGGAAACGAAGAGAAGAGCTTATTGATGTTGAAAATGACGTTATGTTTCTCAGTAGGTTTGAGTTAGATGCTATAACTAATGTTTTGAAAGAAGCAGAAGCTTTGAATGTTAATCAATATGGATATGGGGAAACTTTTTCCAGCATGCCTTCTCAGTTATGTGATCTGGAATCTGGTGAAGATGAAGATTGGAGGACTAAGGATTATTTGCATCAAGTTGATACTTGTATCGAAGTTGCCATCCAGAGACAGAAAGAACAGTTATCTATCGAGGTTTATTTATCAATTATGGATGCTTTACATATAAAATGTTGAAATATTTGCTATTTGCTTATTTTATTTGATCATGCAGATTAGCAAAATTGATGCACGCATCATGCGAAATGTTACTGGAATGCAACAGTTGGAACTTAAGCTGGAACCTGTTTCTGCACATGATTATCAATCAATATTGTTGCCTCTTGTGAACTCATACTTGAGGGTCTGTATCAAATAGGTTAAAATTTTCCCATATTCCTTATGCCTTTTGGGACTAAAATGACAAATTATAATACAAAACTTTATTTTTCAGGCACATTTAGAAGATTTAGCTGAAAAAGATGCCACGAAGAAGTCTGATGCTGCAAGAGAAGCATTTTTAGCTGAACTAGCACTGGATTCAAAAAAGGGTATGAGAGGAGGAAGTGATAATCTGAGACATGCACATGAAAAGCCGAAGGAAAAGAAAAGGAACAAGGAGTTTAGGAAAGCCAAGGACTCTAAGGTTGTCTGTCATTTTTCTACTTGAAGTTTAGATTAATAATTTTTGTTTTGTAACTTAGTTGTTTTTGGTGCCTAATGATATTTTATTACTTTTTACTTCTGCAGGTAGTCAGTGGTCCTGAGCAGGATGCGCTTCATGATGAAGATGTAGATGGAGAGTAAGTGTTACTGTTAACTTCCCGACTGGCAGGATATCTTAATCGTTTATAGGCATTTTTGTTTTTTTTTGTTTTGTTTTGTTGTGTCTTTTTTTTTTTAAAAAAAAATTTTATTATAATATCAGAAGGTCTATAACTTTCTAGCTAATTTTCTGTTTTGATGAATGTCTGGTCAATTTTCTGCTGCAGTCCCTTTCAAGTTGCATCTGATGGTGATGCAGCAGAGGTGGATATTGCTGTTTTTGAGAATGGTAATGCTTTAAGACTACAGGAGGAAGAGTTTAGACGCAAAATTGAGCTGGAAGCCGATGAAAGAAAGCTAGAAGAGACTTTGGAGTATCAAAGGCGAATTGAGAATGAGGCCAAACAAAAGCATCTGGCTGAACTACAAAAGAAATCTGCCCAGACAAATCCAGAGAAGAAAGTTGCTGTGGCAATACATGATAATCTCTTGGGACTTGTCCCTGATGTTGAGGGTGCTGATGAGCATTTTAAGCTCTCTGTGGTGGTAAATGTTCTTTACTCTGTCTCTATTGTTATATATATTCTTCTCCTTTTTGGTTATTTAAATGAATTATGGAGAAACTCCCTGGTTTTACATATACTCAACGTACAAAGTTGATAAAATACTTAAGAGGATCTTATAAATTGCTATTTTAGGATCAATTGGCAGAAAATGATTTGGTTCCCGACTTGTCTAGGAACGGTCCTGCAATGTCACATGCTCCTTCAGGTGATCAAAAGATTAGTGGTATGCACTAATGGGAAGTTACTTGGTAGCAAGCTTTTATGGTTTCAATGTTGGTTTCATCATTCTCTTTTTCTTTAGCAGGTGTATCCAATGTTGGAGTTCTAGAGAATTGTCTGTCGTCTTCTGATAGACGGAAGGGAAGGAAAGGTAGACGGCACAAGGTTTCTATTAAACCAGTAGATGGAAATCAGCCTTCACCATCTGATAAGGATAATGCAGCCTTTGACAGCCGATTGAATGAGACAGTTAGATATCATAGCAATTTCCTAGCAGATAGTGGTGAGTGCATATTATTCCATTTCAAAATACAGTATTCATTTTCTCCTCAATCGATGAATGGGGATTGTGGGTGATGGACTTGTCTTTGGCTGTATCCTTTTTAAATGATTCATACAGAATAATGCTGGGTGTATTAAGTAGAAACTGTCAATAATCGAAATCCAATTTCATGACGGACGTTTTTTCATCGACCAAATGTCACCAGTTCTAATGTTTTGTTTCCTCTTGGATTTTCCCCCTTAAGTCTCTTTGCCATGAAAGATGTAGGATTCTAATTTTAATTTAACGGAGCTACTTTTTCCCCAAAACAAATTTCATTGATAAAAATATATATTCTTTTAATTCAGGTCTATTGTCAATTTCTCCTTGCATGATATGTTTGTACTAGTAATATTCTCTTTCTAACTCACTGAAGATATGAAAAGTATTTGTAATCATTAAAATTTGCTTTTTTTTTTGAACAACAAGATACAAACTTCTCATTGATTTAATGAAAAGGAATACAATGTTTCAGGAAATAAACTCCCGATGGGAGTGAAAGTAGCCAAAAGAAAAATAAGCAAGAAAACAGGAATACAGAGTAAACAAACAATAAAAACCATCAAGCTTGGTTGTGAGGCAAGATAAAAAAGTTTGCAGGATCCTTAAAACTGGGAAGAAAGCTGCCAATAAAACTTCTAGAGCATAGGAAGCCATGAGACCAAACAACCATCTTGTGTGATAATTGGAAAATCAAGCCGAGAGATTCTGAACTTCGCAAAAAAGTGAGTTGAACTCCAACTTCCAATCAGAAAGCAGCTCCAATTTTCTTCGCAAACGAACCTCTTCCCAATAAAACATAGACTTCAGCAACGATTCAAGCTTCAACTTCAGAATATCATTAAAATTTGCTTTTT